TTTATGCGCCATTTACCGGTCGCACAGCCGAATGACATCGTCTCTCTAAGCCACAAATCCCGCCAGCTTTCTGTAAATGTATCACCTACCTCACGTGCATGTAAGGAGTAAAAGACTAGTACCGTCTGTGCCCAGCCCCGTGGACCTCAATTCTGGCTGTACTTCAGAACCACCTGGAACTCAAAAAAATATGATGGCCAGGCCCAATAGCAGAGACTCCCCGTTCAACTGGGGTAAGGTGGGGCCAGGATGCAGCTGCTTTTAGCAGATTCCTGGTTGAGAACAACTGGGTTAGAGTGACCACGGAATAACCATAATGGATAAAGTGATTACTGTCTTTCTCCATCTCTGTTTGACTGGTAACACGTATCAAGTACACAAGTCACTGTGTAAGGGTTGTTTTTTTTTTTTAAGATTTATTTATTTATTTATTTGACAGAGAGAGAGAGATCACAAGCAGGCAGAGAGGCAGGCAGAGAGAGAGGGGGAAGCAGGCTCCCCGCAGAGCAGAGAGCCCGATGCGGGGCTCGATCCCAGGACCTTGGGATCATGACCTGAGCTGGAGGTAGAGGCTTACCCCATTGAGCCACCCAGGTACCCCAGGTTTTTGTTTTTTTTTTTTTTTTTAACTGTAATATAAATTTTATCGTTTTTCTATTCAATCTACCTCACTGCATTTTTTAAAAAATAACAAGTTTAAGTGTTTTTTTCTTTTTTCATTCCCCCTGCCAGGGGGTAAGTCTTTCCCTATCCCTGCCACAAGGGCATTCAGCCAGAGGCTCACTTTGATTTTTCCATCTCACTAAGCTGAGATTCTGGGCAAACAGCAATCCAGAGGCTTCAGGCCCCTGAAGCCAGCACTCAGTGAAATCCCTGATGCACACATGGTTTCTATATTTAGAAAAAGAAAATCCAAGATCTCGATGATCACCACAGAGCCTGGCTCTCCTTGCTTCATCAAGGACCCTAAGGAGAGAGTAGGGGAATGTGGATCATAGGCCTCCCTTCCCATGGCCCTTGGCCAGCGCCAGCACACCCTCTCTGCCGAACGAGAGAGGGGAAAGAGACGGGGGTGGACAGAGACAGCCTTGCGTTTGCCAAGTGCCTGCAAAGAGAGGATTCTTTCTGGACCTTTGTAACTGTTCTTGGTATCACTGTAAGGTAAACGATGACACTTTTTAACCTCGCAGGGAGCGCTTTCTAAATAAACTGAAAACCACTTCACCCCAAATGCGCTCAAGTTAAGATCTTACCTGGAGGGACACCTGGGTGACTCAGTTGGTTAAGTGTCTGCCTTCGGCTCGGAGGCATGATCTCACAGTCCTGGCATCCAGCCCTGTGTCGGGCTCCCTGCTCAGTGGGGAGTCTCCTTCTCCCTCTCCTTCTGCTGCTCTTCCTGCTTCTGTCCTCCCATACTCTCACTCTCTCTCTCAAATAAATAAGTAAAAATTAAGAAAACAAAATCTTACCTGGAAAGATGCTCAGTCCTCGGTTTACTTCTAAGCTAAGGGTCAGGGTTCGAGCGGTGATGCTAAAAATTTGTCGAGGTGCAAAGTTCAAACCATCGGTAACTTGAAAATTAAAGCCTCCTGACATGGGCCCTTCAAAAGAAGAATTACATTCTGGTCACTCTGGGTGTTGGGCAAAAGCCATCCACTTTCGCCCTCTCTCCCGCAAAGCAACCCCTATCAACTAGAGAAAGTGTTAATAGAGTCACTGAACTCCCCAAACCAAATACTGCCAAAATGTGATGCTAGAAGAACATTAATAAAGGTCTAAAATCCATACTTACCCGTCCCCCTTGCCCCCTCCCCATGACTTAATAGAAGAAAGTGTTACCTCCAAGAAATTAAAAAAAAAAATCTTTTTAAACATATTCACCACCTGCATTTTATTATTTTGGAATGCATGCATGTCATGTTCATGTACACACACGCACACACACACACACACACACACAAGCAATTTCTGAAATACTGATATGCCAAAAATCAAAACTAGGGGGAAGAAAATAACACTTAGCCCCTCCCTCCAAATAATTTCTAATTATTCACTGATCTCGAACTAGCTCTTTTCTGCTAAGGTGGTAAAGAGCGGGGAAAGATCCAGGCCGGCTCTTGTTAAACTCCAGCAAGAAGAGAATTGTACTCCCACACTTCTGTCAAAGGGTTAGAGGTATCAATAAAGTTATAAATTAACTTATGCATGTAAGAGAAATTGAGACAGGCCCCCTATCGATCCCATTCCCAGGAGTGCTTTACCAGTCTGACTCACAAAACACCAGGCGAGCTCACAATGTAGACAGCCTGATGTTCGCATTCCCATCACCCTTTGAAAATGTTCAGCCAGCAGTAAATCTGGAGGCCCCCAGGTCTTTGCATCATGTAATGGGTAGAAATGTCCTCTTTGTTGCCCTCAGGGACATGTGGCAAGGAACAAAGAAGGCAGGGTCAGACTCTGCAGTTACGTACAAGTACTGCCTTAATAACACAATTTAATAAAGGGCTGGTCGATGGCTTGACAGCCTCTTGAGTTTCTGAGTCTTCACAAAAAAAGGCTACAGACTTTTAAAAAATTTCCCAATACACTCAAGAGTCATTATTTTTAAAAAGAGAGAGAGAGAAAATTCGGAGTCAGCCTAATTTCGAACAGGGGCCCACGATCAAATTTTGTTTGTTTGCTTGTTTTTACTAGAAGTAGCACTCTGAAGTTGCATTTAATGAAACATGAGATGAGGAAGAGAATGCTTTCTGCCCCCAGGCACTTTCCACATTTCACGAATCCAAAAACAATGTGGAAACGGAATCAAAAGGGATCCTATCAAAATACGTACTAGAATAGCATCCTGGGAATGCCCTAACTTATCACACTAACTATGACCTTAGAGAGGAAAGGAGGGAAACACGAAAGGAGGGGAGACCTGTAGGTTTTCTGTTGCGTAACCCCAGATCTTTCCGACAGTACTTTGCAAAGGGCAGCCTTACACGACACAGCCTCCCACATCTTGGTTTTATCAAACTACTTAGGTTTTTATCTGAAAAATGAGTTAGATGAGTGGTAGAGCACTTGGCAAATATAAATGCTAAGAGAGACTAATGAAACCAAAGCCTTTGTTTGGGGCTGATGATGGACAGATGTAGCAGGAGAACCAACTGGTCTCAGCAACAGCCTGGTCTGCTCGGGGCTCCAGCCACTTTGAGGGCCATTACGGCCTCTGTAGTCAGTTAGAGAATGTAATGGATTGATTCTCAAAGAGAATTACCTTTAACTCGCCTTCCTGCCCTTTTTTTTTTTTTTTTTTTTTTTTAGGAGAAATTATTTCCTCTACCAGCCAAAAGTGAACATGGATCTGGTAGTGGACAAATAAATAAATCCAGAGAGCTAATTTTCATTTTAGTCCTACAAATAGCAAGTGCGCTTCTTTAACCTGCCCTGTCCTTCAGTGGGGGTGGCCGGCTGAGAAAGCACAGCTTCAGGGTCAGTGCAGCTTACTTCGTTCTGAGCCTCAGTTTCTTCATCTCTAAAATGAGTCACTACTCCACATGGCTCAGAGGACTTCTGCAGAGTAAATGAAATGGGTCTCATAACTGAGCCGCCGGTGGCACCAGGGATGGCCAGAGACTCAAGGATTCCTTTTCCTTGCAAACTGCATTGTTGTAGAAATCTGGAACTTCCCTTGGGGGAGTCTCCGGAGCCATTCTTTCCATTTTGATAATTCCTTAAAAAAAAAATAACCTTACTAGGCCCTCATCTAAAAAGACTTGGATTGTTGGTATCTAATAATCAAAACCACACAAAATTGGAGGAAATTTCCTATTACTTCAGTACCTCTTTAAATGAATCGTATTTTATTAGTCAGCTCATCGGTACACATTTAAAAAATGAGAACATACCTACGTGGAAAAAATCACCCAGTCTAGAAACAAGACTTTGGTACCTATGTGGGGAGATTTAGTATCTCATCACAATAAAATTAACCCCACGGGTTCCCGGGCTATAGGCTTAGAACTACTAGTTGAGAGCATTCACATAGTAAATTATCTTCAGATTATTTGGGGATTCTTTGCATGAGCTGCAAAGATAATCAGGAAATCACTACATCTGAATTTAGAAGATTTTTTAGTCTTTATTTTCTTGAGTACATTTTTCTAAGAAGTTAATAAAAATGGCTGACCAGCTCTGACTGGTAGCTTTCCCATCATGCTCCCTGGCTCACGGCCCTGACCCCATTCCCTTGGCAGCTGGGGGAGTGGGCTCCTTCCCCCCTCCATCTGGTGACAGGGGCAGCCTGGAAACAAAGCCAGACTGGATCACCCCTTCCTCAGATTTACAGGATTACCGATTAACAGACGGAAGAAAAAAAGCCTTTTAATGTCCGGGTCTCTTAGGATTACAGCTATCTTCATTCATTAGTTTATTCATGTGTTTATTTATTTAACAACTATGTTTCGTTCACTAAAGTCTCCCTAGTGTCTGGAACATGACCTGGCTCATAAAAGATATTCAATATTATTTCATTCTTTCAACACGTTTTTATTAAGCACCTGCTTGTTCTCCTCACTCTTTGAGGTGCTGAGAACCTCAGAGCAAAGAAAACAAAGATCCTGCTCTTGGTCCCTCTGGTATAGAAGACAGAAAACAAACAAACAAACAAACAAACAAAGCAGTCTATGCTACAGTGGCAGGAAGTCAGGAAGGGATGGAGAGGGACAGAAAAGAGATGCTATTTTAATGGGTGGTCAGGAAAAGGTTCTTGGGAATGTTCTATTTGAGCCTAGACCTTACACAACCATGTGAGTAAGCCAAGTGTGAGTTATAGGTACTCTCTGATGTTTGCTATCATTAGCCTTACTACAACGTGCCACTTAAAAAAAAATTACAGACCCCAGGAAGTCTTTAGATGACTTGTGGTTTTCAGTCACAACTACTAGGTTTGACTATCATGTTAACCTCTGGTTGAAACACATTTTAGTTTCGCATTACTTTTCTCTATGACATACCCGTGTGTACAAACACTAGCTGGCCCTTGTTGATCTGAGCCTGGGTGAAGTTCTGGATGCTTCGGCCAGGAAAGGACTGGAGAGCCAAATGCCCGTTGCTGGGTGGAGTGACCCAATAGGTGAGGTCCTGCGGGGAGGAGTCCTCGTCTTCCGCACAGAGGACACCCCTGGTAATCTCAGTTACAGAATTTGCCCATACCTTAAAAAGAAGAGAAGCACAGATCTTGCAAAGACCACTTCCGATCATATCACATAAGTAAACCGGATAGTATGCTACTCTGGCCTCTTGCACAAAGATTTAGAAACTAAAGCAATTCGTTAGAGCTTTTAAAGCATGAAGATCCTCTTTTTTTTTTTTTTTTTTTTGAAGATTTTATCTATTTATTTGAGAGAGGGAGAGAGCATGAGCAGGGGGAGAAGCAGACTCCCTGCTCAGCAGGGACCCGACCCCCCCCCATGCCCCCGCTCAAGCAAGGCTCTATCCCAGGATCCCAGGACCCTGGGATCATGACCTGAGCCAAAGGCAGAGGCTCAACCGACTGAGCCACCCAGGCACCCCTAAAGTATGAAGATTGTCAATTCAAAACAGACACAGAATTAAATACCAAATGAAATTCAGGGCATGCTGTAGTGTTTGTTTAATTTTTGAGGTTTATAAGGTCCCAATAAAAAACAGTATTCATAATTATTTCTTCAAAATTAATGATTTAAAGTGAATATTTATTTATATAAAGTATAATAACAATAAAAGCTGGTAGTAACTAAGCACCTTTTGCATGCCTGGCATATGCTAAGTATGGAAGCATAGGCTAAGATTCTCCATGGAGTCTCAGATCATCGTAGACCCTACCTCATAAGGTGGATTTAAGGACTGCTATTCATTATTTTAAGAAGTGGATAATTTCATCAGCTCTTAAATATTGCAATGCCTCCTGTGTGGCTAGCTCATCTACAACTATATCTGAGTAATAGTCTCTGTTTTCCAATTACATTTAAAATCTATTTCACTTGCCTAAACATCCTAGTTCCACAATTTATCATTTATTGAGCATCTATTATGTTCCGGTGCCTGTTCTGGGTGCCTGCAACCCATCAGTGAACAAAAGAGTCCTACCCTCACAGAGCCTACATTCCAACAGGAGGGGATGAAGGAGTACAGGGAAGGAACAACAGGCATAATAAAGGAATGAACTATAGTCTGTTAGAGGTTCATGGGCACCATGAAAAAATTTAAAATAAAGCCAAATAAGGGGCTCAGGAGTGGGAGAATGTTAAATCAGAGGCTCATTTGAGAAAACCTGGAAGGAGGTGAAAGAGGAGTCATGTGGATATCTGGGGAAGAACATGCAGGGAGAGGGAGAAGCCCTAAGGTGGGAGCAAGCCTCATCCACCTGAGGGCAGCAAGAAGGTCAGTATGGCAGGAACAGAGCAAGTGAGAGGAGGAGGACAAGAAGATGAGTCAAAAGTGTAACGGAAGGGCAAATCCGGCAGGATCTTGATGGTCACTATAAGAACTTTGGCTTTTACTTGAGTGCAATGGGGCATCGTCATGGGGCTTTTGGGGAGGAGTAACTTGGTCTTAACAGAACCCTGTGGCTTCTGTGTCAAGAACAGACCATGGAAAGGCAGGGGTAGAAGCAGGGACACCAGTTAGGAGGTGACTATAGTAATCCTGGAGAGAGATGAGAGAAGAGAGTGGCCCAAAGTTGTTGAGGTGGTAAGACGTGGTCGAATTCTGGGTGTGTGTTGAAGGGGAAGCCAACGGGGGGAGGGGAGGGAGGATCTGATGAATCAGATGTGGTGAGGTGTGGAAGAAGGCAAGGGGGCAGAATGGCTCCATGACGGGGACCTCAACAACTAGAAAGACAGGGTTACCACCAGCTGAAATGAGGAGAGCTGTGGAGGGGGTGGGTTCTCGAAGTAAGATCAGGAGTTCAGTTGTGAACATGTTGAGCTGAAAACAGGTACTTAGACACTAAATCCCATTTGAAGGAAGGAGGCTCTTTCGAGTTTCTATAATCATGCAGTCACATGGTATTTCACGAACACTAAAAATGGGTGGCATTATCACTCACTAAATTTTCACATTTCTATCCGTATTTATAAATGTCTTCCCTATAGAAACATTTTCAAGCTTATGTCATTCTGTGCTCTCTGACTAGAACCTTATCATCTTCTATGCTTGATACCAACCTATTTAAAAATTCAATCCTGATTTAATAGTTACCTCTCTGATCTAAAAGACTGTTTTCTTTAGTAGCATAGGGAGTTTATGAAATATCTTAATTCATGCTCACTTATTCCTAATAACTATTTAAACAGAATTTAAGAAAGGAATATCAGAAATTATATAAGATTCCTAACTTTTCATGTGAGGCACAACATGCCACGTTAGCTATGTAACCTTGGGCACATGTCTTAATTTCCCTGTGCCTTAATTGCCTCATTAGTAAACTAGGAATGATAGAATTATTATATATAATGAGTGATTTAAGATATGTAAAGTACTTAGAACAAGCTTCACCAGGCAGATAGTAAGAATTCAATAAATATTAGCTCTATAATATCCCATCTTCTTCATCAGATTCAGTTCTGAGGATTAATATAATTTTTTTAAAACATTACTTAAAAGTCATTTGGGGTGTCATGATTATGATTATTGGAACTGTTCTATAACATGCACGGTGGGTTTTGTTTAATCCTCTCCATAATTTGGGGTGGGCTAGTTCATCTGTTTCATGATGGTATTGTCGATGGATGTTCCTGTATCTTGGCTTTTGGAATATGGCCACTGAGGATTTTTCAGCCCTAAACTCTAAGGGTATCAATTCTTTAACAGCTACCAGAAATGCTCATCAACCTAATGTTCAAATCATAAGGTTTTGGTCTTCAGTTAATCCATGGAAAGGCTACAGTGTTTATAAAATATATAATCGGACTATTTAACAAAATTCCATGGCCACTAATTCTACTTTTCCACTTTTCGTATTTTAAAATCCATCCGGGTATGTTTTTTTCCTTTCTTTAAGAACTCACGCTGATTCGGAAACGTACTGCCATGCTTGTCTCGTGACTCTGAGATGCTCATTTTTTCCAGCACCGGGCACACAAAAGCTGAATGAAGCACGTTTTCCACGGCAGCTACTCCTCTGTGCAACTCTGCTTTTGCCCCTTCTTGCTTCTGGAATATACTATCTTTCCAAACAACTGGAAAACCTGCCACTCAAAACAACACTAGTAACCTGAGGTCTTTATTTCCACTCCAACCGGATTTAGTTCAATTAACAGCCCCACTCTTTGGGTGAGGCTCGACTGAGAGCAAAGTCCTTGGCCATAGCCACTACAGGTAGATGGGGAGAAGAAAAACAAAGATTGAAACTTGAATGTGGAATTCCAAGTGATCCAAAGTCCAAGAGACATAACAGTTTAAGGAATACATACCTGAAAAAAAATTAGCACCTTAATTGGAACACATTTTTAAAAATTCAACTTTAACTTATAAACGGAAGGTCAATGGGATTGAGAAACCTAATTATAATCCAGTATAATCCTAATTATGATTCTAATGTTTAAAAAAAACAGACCTTTGTTTTGAGTTTCAGATGAGGAATGTGAAATGTTTATAAAATTACTATCCCACTATCTGACCCTTCTAAGCCTTCCGTCAAAATCTCTGGCTTTGCTGCCTTAATTCGTCCACGGTCCCTGGCTCTCAACGCTTTTTTTAATGATGACAAGTGCTTATCAGAAACAAACAAATGATTCTATTTTTGGTATAAAAGACAACAACAAAACAAAATGTACAGTATCGAAAGCCAAAGTTGAAAAACAGGAAAATGAAGCCCCCTTGTGGACACAAATACATTTGATCAGGTATGCACCAAAATTTCTGGTGATGCTTGAATACAAAAGTACTCAGTAGAATATATTTCAGAGTAAAATGCAAAGGATTCACCAGAGTTGGTCTAATCCCAATTCCTAACTCCAGTCTGTCATGACAGAAATGATTTTCTGTACCACTGAATGACTTTGGAGACCAGCCAGCCACAGGTTCTGTGGCTAAATGAAATGTTTAACGTACATCAGGAGAAACAAGTGTTAGGTTATGCTGGGACAGAATGGTTAATGTTCAGATTTCTGCCTTTAAACTCCTATCCAGAGTCTGAGATGCTATCAGCTGGTCTGCCCACTAGGCTCCCACTTCCTTTTCCCAGGTAGACTATAGATAACCCTTCTTGCCACTTGCTCCAAGCTCTGATGACAAGGAGTGTGGGTAGTCATAGGGGATAATCTGAAGGTCTTGAGAATGTTCTGTTTGAAAAGTCAAAGACAGCATAAAACCCCACAACTATGGTGGTTAATTTTGTGTCAAGTTGACTAAGCTGCAGGGTACCCAGATATTTGGTTAAACATTACTCTGGGTATTTCCAGGAGAATGTTTTTGGATGAGATTAACATTTAAATCAGTTGACGGAGTAAAGCGGAATCACTCTCCCTTACGTGGGTGAGGCTCATACAATCAGTTGAAGACTTAAGTAGAAAAACAAAACGCAAAAACTGATCCTTCTGTGAGTAAAGAGAATTCTTTTCTGTCTGACTGCCTTTGAACTGGGACATCAACTCTTCTTGTTGACCTTCATATGGGAACCCAGCCCTTGGCTCTCCTGGGTCTCTAGCCTGCTGACGAAGCCTACAGATCTTGGAACGTGCCCACCTCCATAATCACATAAGCCAGTTCCTCGTAATAAATCCAGATATATGTATTTTTACAGACACATGCACTAATCCACAACTCAGTCATGGTTTTGCTGTCAAGGAAGAGGAGGCTCAGAGAAATTTTGCTCAAGTTGAGCAATTTACAAACCTTGAACTCTGGTCTTTGAACTTTAACCCAGAACTTTTAAGGCAGAGAATGCGATTCTTACCGGATAAATAAGTGAATAACTCAGAGAGAGCCAGAGTCGAATGACCACATCCATTGAAACTGGGAAGTTGTACTCTTCCTGGACTAGATCCAGGCTCTCCAGGGAAGAAGGTAAGAATAAAGGAAATGGCCCTTGCTCCCAGCGACTCTTTCCTTTTTCTTGAAAGAAACACTCTGGAATCAAGGATGCGGGCAAGGGTGGGAGCAAACTGCCTGAGCAAGCTCAAGGTTCTTGGCAGAGACTGTATTTCCTTAATTTAAAGGGAAGATGGAGACAAAGGCTAGCATACACACATTCTTCCTCTCACAATTTAATGTTCTGAAGATCTTAAATTGACAGGAATATTTCAATATAATAAAGCTATTATTAAGTTGATGGTGCCTCTTATAACGAACGGTGACTCTTATAACGAACGGTACCTCAGAACGGAAAGCCAAACCCACAACGGGGCTTCAATTCCTTTCCAGAAGGAAGCCCAAGAGTTCACTGCTTTATTCCTTGGTCTTCCTCACCCACAGCGGGCTCCTGCTCTTCTCCCATGATCAGTCTACATTTTAGGTCTGTCCCCTGGATCTTTCTCATCCTACAGTTTTGCACCACAGGGCAAGGTGCCCAAATCCTCGGCTGAGGTTTCTGGGCGAACACGTATGTGTTCGGTACAACTGCTGTGGACTTACTCCCTGAAGTCCACATGAGCGCGAGCAAGAAGCCCCGCAGCTTTGGTGCTTGACCACATGGATGCACTGAGAGAGCTCGAGGCAGTCATGGGTAGCAGGCAAAGTGGCAGAGCATGGTAGTGAGACAGCCAGACTTTCTACTCCTTCCCCTGGTGCCGCGCTGGGCCTCGGTGCTCCCATGAGGAGGAGGACATCAGTAACAGCAGGTGCTCTGTAGGATTGTGAAAATGACACCCCTTCCAGAAGATGTCCAGTACTGTACTCCGTAAGCAATAATAAATGTAAACTTTTATAACTATAATATAAAATAATATAACTATAATAATATAACTTTTATAATATAAAATAATAAAATAATATAAAAATATAAACTTTTATAACTGTGCTTAATAATCCTGGACACCTACGATCCCTCCCTCGAGCCAACAATGTAGCGCTTAGATCGCTTTGCTAAGAATGAGTTCAGGAGATGGAAACACCCCAAGAATCTGTGAGAACAGAGGAAGGCCTACAAATGGGACCAGCTAGAACGTCCAATTCCCAGGCTGTCTGGACAAGGACTGTGGAGTACATGCAGGATAAAGTGACACGTTCTGAAGGTATCAACGCCCTTAGTTTTTCACTTAACACATAGAGGCCGAAAAATGAGCTGAGCCATAAAATAACATAAAGCACTAGAAAGTCTGTTCCTAAATCCAATTATATTGAGCAAATAAAAACAGATTTTTAAAAACCCCAGCCTGTTTCCATGTTTAACAACATAAAATTTTCTAGTGAAGTTAGCCCCTGGTAAGCTCTATTCCTATCCACCTTCTGACTACCCAACTTCCTCTGGACTTCTAAAGAATCTATTATTAGCTAGTGCCCCTCATGAGTGGTGTAAACAAGGCTGAAGTTGTCAAAAACGTGTGTGGGAAGATTTGTTTTTAATAAATTTCAAAGTGAACACCTTCAGATTCCTGTGTCTGGGCATACCCGATGAATGTGTCCCCTAGAGGCTGAAATGCGTGAAGGGTCAAGGATTCTTCCAGAAATGCAGCTCTCCTAAAGAAAGAAAGAGCCTGGTTTCTGAAACACGGGCCAGTATTGGTGGGAAATGGACAGTTTATACTTTCATTTACTCATCCGTTCAACAAATATTTCTTATTTATTATGTGTCCGTCATTGCTGGAGAGAGCCTGAAAAGGAGCTTGGACAAGTCACTGGGCTCGTGTGCTGTCACTCTGTCCTCCGCCTGTCACTCAGCTGTCAGCCAATTTCCTCATCTGTCCAAAGAAGGAAATGGTAACACATCTCTCAGCGAGCTATAAGCCCTTAGAGTGATACCTGGCACGTAATAATGGCTAGCAATTATTTTGTGAGCATTTGCTATTATAATAGCTACAACTCTTCTCCAAGCCAGAACAAACTCATGCCCAAGTCCTTAGAAGAAGGGACAGTAAGAAGGAGTGGTTTAAGACCAAGACAATCTACTGGGTGAAAGCTTTGGGATACTTGAGTGTGAGCTGACACAAATGGGTTCACCAGCATTGACATCAGTATGCTGCTGTGGGAGAAGATGGCGCCATAAGAGCCAGAGGAACTCCTACGCATCAAGCCCTTTGTGTGGCCAATAGAAGCCATGACATTGCTTCAGGGCCCCAGATCAGGACAGGAACCAAATGGTGGACATCATGTGATTGCCAAAACATGTTTATCTGTGAATGCCTAAGAAGCACCCCCAGGGGATTCTCAGAAAAAGTGAAGGGTGATGGAAGTTCCCAGAAACAGCAAAATACCCTCACATGACTGTACAGTGGTTTTTTAAAATCCTGATACTGCTATAAGCCTTGGAGTTTTTCGGTAATAATGCTACCATTTATTGAGTCCCAACCACACGTCAGGAAGTGTGGGAGAGTTTTACATCATTTTCTCTCTTACTCCTCACAACTCTGCTTCTATTTCCCACCACCTCAATTAAAGCGCACTGAAGGACTACATAAATTGCCCAAGGTCACACATTCAATACCAGGGAGGTGATTCTCACCTTCCCACCCTAACTAGAAAAGGCTGTGCTTCGGGAAATACAGTGCAAATGACACCCACTCAAGAGAGACAACACGCCAGTAACTCATTGGGATTCCTCATCTCCCAACAGTTTCCCAACAGAATGTCCCCATAAGAACTGCCATTTATTTAAAACCAGTAGGAATGTGTTAATCATACGTACATAGTCATATTATTTAACATTAGAAACAATATGAAAGAAAATCAAATGGGTAGCCCCAATGTTATTATGATAAATCAAAAAGCACGGAGCACCTACCTGAAGGATTTTGTTGGCTGTTATCACCGGAGCCTCATCATTTACTGATTCCACAGTTACAAAAAGAGTTCGGGGCAAGCTCTGTTTTCCAAGTTCTGAGCTATTTGCAAAGACGGTGAAATCATCAAGAAGCTCCTCGCTACCATCATGCATGTAGTAAATCAATTCATTTTCCACCTACAACCACCAACAACAAAAATCACCAACTTGCTGAAATGTGATTTTAAAATATGAAAATATAAAAATATGAATCAATTACTATAATCCCAATTTTTATGTCTCTCTAAAACACAGGAGCATGGGTTCATCCTAGGAGGTCTGATTCTGAGTGTAAATTATGATGGGAGGGCTAGTTTTCATGAAGTGATGCCACGTCCTAGGAAAAAGTTGAAAGAGGAATGGAACAACGCAGCAGACAGTGTAGGAAAGAGACCCTTGGACTGGTAATCAGGGGACGAGAGTCAAAGGCTATTTCTAACACGGAAATATGCTCTAGGTAAGTGATCCAATCCAGCTGTCCTTTGCATGGAACAGCACCCACTAAAATTCAGACTCTACTTGTTTACTTACAGTGACTAATTTGGAGTTGCGGATTACTTTGCTAGACAATTCAGAATGTTAGGTTTAGGCTCTGAAGCTCCTACCCTTCTACCCATTTGTTGGATTTTGTTGTTTGAAGACATCTGGAGTAGGGCAACTATTAAGTTACCCCAGACTTCTCTTTTCTGAACTAAGCATGCCTTATTCCTTTAACTGTTCTTTGTATGAGAGACTATACATGTAATCTCCTAGTTCTGTTCCTCCTTCAGAACACACTCATTTTTTGGGTGCATCTCTTAGCGGATGCGAACCATAACTAGCTATCGAACTAGCTATATAACTAGCTTTCTTCTGTGGACAGAATATAGGAAAATATATCAAAATCAAATTTCTATCAAGGTAGATTTTCCTTACTGTAATAACACAAATGAAAACATTCACTTTTATCCCTGTTAGATTTCATTTTCTAATTTTCATTCTGAAATGGTTATCAAATGAATTAATTACTCCTCTTGGATTTGTAATAACCACAAATTTGATCAGAATGCCTCTCATGACTTCAAGGCTCTGATGGAAAATACTGAAGAGCACAGGATCGTAATTAGAGATGAAGAGAATTTCAAAGCTAGAAGGAAAGTTGGCTTCAGTGAGTCTGTGACTCAAACACAAAATGGCAGAGAACTTCCAAAGCCCAACAGGAGTAGCTGAACTTCTGAAAAAGTCTCTGGGGTTGTGTTTGTTTTGATAAAATACTGCCAGAAATTTTAACAGTTCAACTTTGGCCGTTCCTATGGTGCACTTCCTTTGAGCAAATACTTTTGATCTCTCGGAGGTGCTTCTGACAAGAGTTGAAAAGTTCAGTAAGAGTCTCAAGGGAAAGTTGTGGCCATTTGTCTACAGGTGCTATGAGAATTTCTTTGGAGTTCCGTGGGCAGAGGAGTTCCAGACCACAGGCCTGATCACAAGTTCTGAAACACGCTGTTTTAAGCTACTTGAAAACAAACACAGAAGATGGCATTGATCAGAATGTGAGAGAATTTGTACTTAAAACGCTTTAGGAACCTAGAATTTAATACAGGTTGCCTCCTCGGTATCTTTCCTGGAGAAATAGAGCATTTCTTCAAAGGAGTGGCACGCCCCCAAGTTATATGCCATTTAATATGTATTAACGTAAAAGTAAAGAGAAGATTTGGTGGGGGGTCGCTTATTTCTCAACTTCCAATACTAGAAAAATATATGCTGACCTGAAATTAAAAGATATCATAAACCTGTAGAAAATCTTGGAAGACTGAAAAGTGTTTGGTTCCTTCTCACCAGTCATGTTCAGGGCGGTGTCATGCCTCTGCTCACTTTCTCCCTCCCTCCTTGCTCCCCATCTCCCCCGGGGTTAAAGATGAAGTAGAAGGCCCTCCCATGCTGGACCTCCCTAACCTCATTCTCAGCTGTCTCCCCTCCCCCACCTGTGGTCCAGCCCCACTAAACTCCTGGCTGCTCCCCACCCAGCTGTTCACTCGCTCTTCCCTCTGCCTAAATACCCTCCCTCCGCGTCCATGTGGCTCACCCACCCATCCCCTCCTCTAGGTATCTGCTCAGATGCTGCCTTGTCAAGGGGACCTCCCCTGACCGCTTGATCTGAAACCGAACTCGTACATACATAACACTGAAGGCGCTAGCATTTCCCAGCTCCCTTTCCTGCTTTATTTTTCTCCATCACACTAAACTTCACTCAAGATGCCTTCCATTCCACTTACTTATTTTTTCTATTGTCTCTCTCTGCCTCCTTCTTTCTCCTACCAGGGCACTACGGCACGGAGTGATGCTGGGTTTGTTCACCCTGTATCCCCACTACCTAAAACTGGCGTGCCTGACACATAACAGACACTCAGAAATGATCTGCTGAATGAATGAAGGTCTAACATGGCCACGGGCTCCTCCAAGCCACTAAACACTATAGCCACCAAATGTTAAGGGTTAGTGCTGCTTTACATGAGAACAACGATGTCGCAAAGCCTGGAGACCTTAGAGTCATACAGGAAGAGAAAGCATGAAGGGGTCATCTGGAAGAGCCGGGACCTTGACTGTGAACAAGGCTACACAATACCATAGATCCTAGAGGGAACACACACACTTGACATAGAGATTTCAATCAACTATTCTAAACGCACACTTCTTACAAAGCACAATCCATAATGAATTGGCCAAGACAGGACTCAAATTTAGTGCTTGGTCTCTCACTTAGCATCCCTGAGGTAAACAGTAGTAAATTCAACTTGCACCAGAGCGCGTGGTCATCTTGGATGGTTTGTCCCGCCTTTGTGAAGGAAGCCATGATGAAGAGATGCCCACAGGAATTCACTAAAGGATCACTGTCCCCAGATCCCCAGCAGAGAAGCACTGATTTCCAAGGTTATTTCCAGCCCTCAGGATTCTCTGCTTCTACCCACGGCTCCCTAATGCCTCCTGGTTCAGTCTAACCCTCCTGACGTATAATTCAAGACTCTCCCCAGTCTGGCCTCAGTTCTCTCTGCCGCTCCTGAGCCCACCTGCAAGTCTTGTGGGCTATTTCCCTGCCCCCGGAACCTACTCACTTTAATGCCTCCGTATCCTTGGCTATGCTGTTGCCTTTGCTCATGTTGCTTTTTTTTGTTGTTGTTCCCCGTTTCTCCTCTGTTACCTCCCTGCTCTTTCCTTCTTTCCTCAAGTCTTGCTTAAGCGTTATTCCCTCTGTGAAGTCTTCCCTATTCTCTTCAATCAGAGTCAGACGCGCCACTCTGCACTTCCTTAGCGCCACTGTGAGAAGGCTCTGCGAGGCCTTGGAAGGGTGTACTTAGAGCAAAGCTTGTGTGACTATTGCCCCCGTCCCCCAGCATCTCCTGAGGGCAAGGGGTATGGCTCCTTACCATGGCAACCTTGCACAGCAACTTGAACAGAAGGGTTTAGCAAATCAGTTCAAGTCCGTTGATAAGATGAAATCCTTAGAAGCATAATAAAGCAGCCCACATGGGTTTATAGCTAACTGGACAAAGGTACCCAGAGATTCCAGGTTGGTGTTAATGGCTTCCAACCTGAGGAGTGCACATTCCCAGGAGCTTACACAGGAAATGGTGGCAAGCTACTTTCAACCCTGAGAAAGTAACGGACATCATTCTTTTATTCACGATAAGAAAGCCAAATGTCACACTAATACCAACCTAGCCCAAAGCAAAGAAAAATGACAGCAGCCCTGAGTTGAGCAGTTATTTTACGCTGAACACCAGACTGGAAGTTGTGTCCTGCTGCTTGACTGTGAGGACTGGGCCATTCAGCCATTGCTCACTGCGCTTACATAGGGCATGGCACAGAGTAGGCACTCTGTCAGCGTCTGTTAACTGAATAATGGAATGACTAGATGAGTAGACCCACTAATGACTAAAGTGCGTCCGCGTTAACTATCCAGGTGTAACGCTTCGAGCGGGACTGACAGTGTGGACCTCCTCCAGCAAGGGGCAGCCAGGGTGGCACAAGGGGCTAGAAACCCGTGACTTAGTAACCAAAGTGGGAGAACCTAGAGATGTTTCACCTAAAGAAGATAAAGTCCAAGGGAACTTGATAACTTTTTCTTTCAAATATTTAAAGAGATTTCAGGAAAGGAGGTATGACTTGTGCTGTGAGCTATCAGAGTCAGGACTTAGAGAAGTGTCTGAGCAGCAGACTTCAGGACTACAAGAGTTTGAAAGAACTTTCTAACAATTGAAATATTTTTAAGCCGGAAGTGCCCATTGCATGAAGTAGTGAGTTTTCCACCACTGAATACACTGAAGCAATGGCTAGATAACCTTTTTATGGGGTTACCATGGAAGGGGCTTCTAGCATCTGTTAGGAGGTTAAACTAGATATTCTTTCAAGTCTCCTCACTCCTGAGAGCCCATTAATCTAAATAATGAATAGCATTTTTTTCTCTTATCCCACATGCCCAAATGTATTAACTAACTGAGAATTATTACCTGTTTCCTGGTAAACTTCATTAGCTGTACTCTTGGAAAATCAGAATTTTCAACATAACCATGTTTTGGGGGTTTGAGTAGAACAAATTCACAATCAACTCCCTCAAAATATTTGTTTGGGATTTTGAGATGGTCTTCCAGAAGTGCTTTGGAACCTCCTTCTCGGACTGTGAAATTTTGTACCTCCAGAGGAATCCGCTTAGGGACGATATCCACTAAAATTTCAATTCCATTCACAGCTTGGAAACCATTCACCACATCCAGCAAAAAACGGTCGTGTTGTTGGTCAGGAGCTGTCTGCACATAAAGAATAGCCCCATCATCAATTTCCTGTTGTGTAAAAATCAGAGGTGACTTTGCATCGGCACTGAAGCTCCCTTCTTCTGGTAAAGATTTCTGGAGGTATCCATGCATCGGTGGAACTCTAACAGTGAACGTTGCCTCAGAAGTAATATTATCTTCATGGATAGTCTGGAGTTCATATATGCAATACACAGACACAGAAAGGAAAACAGGTCAGTACTCACAAAAGTCAAGATCCTTGATGAACCAAATGGTTCTCTATTAATGCCAAAAAATGTCTTAAATTACTATCAGGGTTGATACAGAGTTTAAGCCTGGGTCTGTTCTGGTGACCATGTCAATATTTGCATTTAGCCGTGGTTGCAAAGAAAAGTTATGGTCTACAACACTTGACTCACTACTAGTGCATTAACAAGGCGTCATTCACAGCAGCAAGACACCCAGGACTCAGCCAGTTGACTTAAAAGAAATAAAATGGTGTAAGGACAAGGAATAAAAGATGGTTGAAGAAGCAGAAGTTGAATCACTTAAATTGCAAGACTTTAGAGGAATTTTTTCTCTCCCCCTTTTAACTAGCTCAGCATTTTCTATATATATTTAATTTATTGATTCAGCAAAACCCATCTCAAAGCTGTCATTGTAACTGACTTAGAGTCACTGAACTACACACGCCCCCTTGTGGTGAAACATAAATTCTCCAAGAGCCTAAAAAAGGACTGAGAAAAGCTGGGGAGGCCCGTTATTTCCTTAAGCAAACTCATTCAGTAAATGCTTCTGATTTGAGTTCACTTCCTCTTGATGTTATTGGCTGCACTTAGCAAACAAGTAAACTCCTTTGCTGTCCTGAGGGTAGATTCACAACAGCCTGTATCTGTGGCCAGCTGTCATAAATCACAGTTTACAAACCCTGTACAGGATTACCCTAAAACAAACACTCTCTCCTAACTCTGATCAGCAGGGCTTTGCCTGCTGGAAGTTTCTAAGTAGGAGCCCCAGGAAACCAGGTAGTTTCTGGTGTAAGGTCACACCTTTGGTATTCCTGTAGTCTGTGCCAGTTTTATCCATCCATTTCAGGAAACAAAATGAGGCTAATTCAGAGCTAAGGAAATTAACTGTGTAAGATAGCATCTTCTGCTGTTTTAGGAATCCTTTTCATGTTTAAGCTGCTCTAAATTTATATACCCTGCTTCATCACATCACAAATGTAACCCTGACCAAATGAAATACTGGCAGTGTTTCTATAAAAAATGAAAAAAAAAAAGTAAAGATCTCTTAATTTACTATAATATGTACATCATCTCCTAATTTCCAGTTCATCCTACACGAAACAAACATACATATTGTGTGCTGGTGTGCACTTGGCCTTAACATAAGGCTTGGTCACTTATATTCCAACTATAGCACTATCAGTAGTGTCAGAATCATGAAACCTTCCAGCTTTTCCTTTCGATGGCATTTACATTTGGAAAAAAAGTCATTCTGAATACCAGGGAGAAATCAACACAAAAATAGCTCTTAGAAGCAGATTACTCTGGGAGAAAGAGAATGCTCAGTGGTAGGACAGTTACCTACCTGGAGTCTTCCTCTATTCAGTTTTACTGGTTTTCCTTCTTCAACTATAAGGGTTTTGATGAGTGGAACTTGGGCACGATGTTGGTGGCTTTCCGAGTACACTCGTACATAGACGCCCACATCTATATGTATCTCCTTAACTTTCACTGTCAGGTTGAACACATCAGAGTTGCCGCTGCCGTCATGCCTATAAATCACATGTCCCCGCTTCAAGTCATGCTGGGAAAATGAGCGGGACACTGACTGGTTGACTAGCACTCCACCATGCTTTGGGGGCTGTAGCACGTGGAATTCAATCTCGTGGTCTGTTCGGACATCTTGGTTTGTGGTGACACTGAGGTTGGATGCTGTGAGGCTGCTGTCCTCTCCTCTTTGTACAACCAGCCCTGTGTTATTGGCTACCTGGATGTAGGGGTCTGACACACTGACTTCAAGAAGGGATGATGTATAATGGACACCATCTGTCACAAACAGCACAAAGCGGGCGGAGTCTGCACCCCGATGTCTGAAAAGCACTCGCCCTTCCCGCAGGTCATCTTGCCTGAACTGGTAGAGTTTCTGAGTGACATCACTGGCTCTCACCAGGTCCCCGTTTGGGATGCCCCGTCGGGTGTAGAGCAACTGGCCATCATCAAAATCTGAGTCGGGGTCATGGTAACAGAGATCTGCCAGGGTCAGTAGGCGCTGGCCATTCCTTACAACACAAAAGACCTTATCTACCACACGTACTGGTTTCTCATCATTTTTTAACTCTACAGAAATGCCAACTTTGATTTCTGTAGATAAATGTTCTGCGTCAAGATGCCTGACCACTCCCTCTTGGCCTGGTCCCGTGGTGGAGGCCACAAGGAGGAATTCATCATGTTGGGTCTCAGAGTCATCGTGGACATACATCAGCCGCTTCCCCACTATGTCTTGATCAGTGAACGTGGTGATATTGTCATGACTTCCCGGAGGGTCTGAAAAGTTAACCAGTTTCAGCTTCCCATGTTGAGGACTCTTGGTGATTATATATTGGAAGGTCTGATTGTCCAGTGTTTGAGTGAATAATTCCGATTTCGTAATTAATTTCCCTTCTCCTTCTTTTACAGATAACCCTCTGTTAGTTACAATAATGCGGGTCCTGTCTGCTTCAAAGTTTATTCTGAAAGTATAACTTTTGGATTCTATGTGCTTTGCAATAATTAAGAACCTAAAGATATCTTCTGTGTCTTCCCTAGGCCTCTCCCGTGGCTCATAACTTATCTTAGAGTCTGCAATGTCTTGCTGGCTGAAAACGGAGTTTGTTTTCAGAACTTTATTGCCAACTAGCAATTTTCCTTTCTTAGGTGGTGTCAGTAACTTAAAACGCAATTCTTTCTGAGTCACACTCATACCCTCTGTCACAGCCTGCAAGTGGTCAGAGTTCAGTACTTGTCTGCTCAGCTTACTGACCTCGAGAGGAACGTTTTTCAGAAGTACAAACTTTAGCCAGTGTACGGTAATGGGAAATACCAGCTCTTCACTGACTTTCCCTTCTATGTTCACTTGAAATTTAAAGTGATCTGTAACATTTTCTGGCTGTAGTTCTTGAAATGTGCTATGGTACCGGACCTGACCCCGATCAATGGAACGTTGAGAAAAGGTACTAACTTGTTTCCATTCACCCCTTGACCCCTGCTGCTGAATCTGACCAAATTGGGGTGGATGAGTGATAGCATAGCGGGTCTCCATCTCGTGGGGTTCACCATTAACCTCCACCGATAAGTTACTCCGTGTAATCAGAACCACGCCCCCCTGCTGGACGACTACCCCGGTTCTAACAGCCACTTCAAAGTCCCAAGGAACAGCCATGACCCGTAACACTACGGTATTGCTAACCAGATCTCCATCGCTTGCTCTCAGAAGGATCCGGGAGTTCCGATGACCTCTGTGCACGTAGAAAATGTTGCCATCTCTTAAATCCCCATGCGTAAAACCATTAATGGCTTTCCCAGGACCATTGGTGTTTTCTAAAAACCCAGCATCTGAATTGAAGTTGCCAAGAACTGAGAAACTAAGACTCAAGGAATCTGTGTCAGGGTCTGACACGTGTATTACATTTGGAGTCAGTCGTTTCTTAGAATTCTCAAACAGGAGGAGCAAGTTTCCTTCAGGGAGCTTAAGGACCGGGGCATCATTTACTGGAAGGACAGTAATGTTAAACACATATGGAACATGTCCTTGCAGATACAATGGCATTTCCTTCCCGCTCTTGGATGAGACTGAAAACGTAAAAAAATCCCTAGGTTCTTCTGAGCCATCATGGACATACCAAATTTTCCCTTGCCCCAAATCTAACATAGTGAAAGCCTCCTCCATTCCCTGTGCAAGCGAAACATCGATTTGAAGGAACCCATGCAGGGGCATTTCCTCTATTTTAAATAGTATTTCAGAAGGATGGATGCCCACATCTTCGGATGCCACAACCACGTTCATGTGCCTTTTTTCCAGTAAGGCTCGCCCACCTTCTTGGACCTCCAGGTTATTCAGACTTAAGAAATAGCTACTTGCCTGGTGAAGAAAAGGCTTGCGTGCCTCGGGGACGGTAGTGGAAAGGGGAACTTCTGAACGAAGCAGGTTTTCTGCTGTCGTTATGAAAGGGTTTTCATTATCACTACTCTGCAATTTACACCCGGAGGCTACATCTTTAGACACAAGGGCATTCTTTAATGCTCTCTTTTCTGAGTTGGCTTCCAAGCCTCTTAAGCACCCTTTGAAAGAGATTCCTCGAGCAGATTTCCTGGGCACAGAGGCAAGTTCTAACTTCTTAACTTCTTCTCCCTTACGGTTATCAAGACCTCCCACGAAGAGAGGACCTTCCGATACAAATGGTTTGCTTTGCAAGGGCAGCAACGCCCTCACCCCTTGCTCATCCACCATCAGGTCCAGATACCGTTCTGTGAGTCTGAGTTGAATAACATGCCACTTGTTGTCATTAACTACGCTTAAAGAAGAGAGCTGGGTGTTACTTTTGCTCCTTCCTACATGAGCCTTCAACAGACCATTAACTATTTCCAAAGCAACAAAATTTCCTTGTCTACCTGGCTGAAACAAAAGCAAAGCTTGTTGACTTCCAGTCTGCAAAGCAAATTCCAACAGCCCTTCCCCGCGCACCCTCCATTCTGGGAAGGTGACGTAGGATCTGGAGCTAAAGAAATTGATGGCCTCATCCTCTCCTGCAAAAAATTCATCATTGCATCCTAGTGACACCTCATACACCTTCTTAAAACCAGGGTAAGACCTGAGGGATGCGAGGATCTCCCTCTGGTTAAATACCACACCCTCCATACATCCACGGAAACCGGGAAGCTCTCCATCCAGGTAAGGGAGGTCAAGTTCACCATGGCCTGCTATGTAGATTCCATGTTGAAAGTGCAAACTGTGCATCCCACCAGTGATTTGGCCAGCTGTCTCATAGTGTTTGTCGATAACCAGAGAGATAGTGTTTTTAACATAGTACAGTTCCACTAAATGCCAATGCAAGTCATCCACACGAAGCCTTTGCTCAGAAAGGAGCACTTGTTCACCTGTACCCAAATTCACCCTCACCTGAAAGAGAAAGAATCATAATTAATCAGTCTCATCTCGTAGTAACTTACTGAGAAAACAGGGCCGTCCACAGAGAGAGAGAGAGAGAGAGAGAGAGAAACTTGGACTTGAAACCACTTTCCGCAGGTATGGACTATACAATGAGGCTTAAAAATTTCAGAGTCAGAATATTTCAGGCATGCTGGTAAAATCAGAGGCTATCCCAACTTTTCAAATGGTACACATTTTTATTCTAGTAAAATAACAGGAATAAAATGGATAGGTATTTTGTTCTCTTTCTCTCTCATGGTTTTTCCTCCAGTAATTGAAAACCCACACGTTTTTAAAGATTTAAGGAAATCTTACCCGTAAGTTTCCTGATAGAAGTTCTATTATACAGTAGTCATTTTTCCCAGCTGCAAGGAAAAGTAATCCCTGTGGTTTGCTGGTTTGAAATTTTAATTGAAGAGATAACTCGGGCAAAACTTCGATGATGTTGAGCTCCACATAGCTTTCACCATAAAAAGATGCTAGGGGAAAAATTCAATAAGGAGTATAAATGAGTAAATTCATTACACAATGACAATTCCACTTGAGTGTCTTCTCCCTTCAGGGACTGACCCTGCTGAGGAAAGCTGCCCTGCCCAAGGCCATGGCCAGTTCCTGGGTAGCCCACAGTTCCACTGTGGGGGTACAAAGGTTCAGTATTCTCTTGCCCCAACTCAAAACAGCTTTGATGGGTCAGTCTCTCTTCAGAACTCTCAAGAAGGGTGGTCAAGGCTTCTGTTGAAACTGAATTGCAAGTCTACTTCTCCATGTACCCAATCCCGCTTCCTTCCCTGTCACAGGGATAATCCCACACCACTGGTGGTGAACTGGTGTAAGAGGAGAAGGGACCACATTATTCAGCTATAAAAGATCAAGCCATGAAAGATACAGGGCAAATAGTAGCTATGAAGACTATGAAATTGGCTGTCTATTGCTAAATTGGAATAAAGCTTTGTTAAAAGAGAAGGAAAAGCTAGGAGAGATCTGCTGACAAGTGTGAAATCAAGAGGGCTTCCGTGGTAGCATATAGAGTCCCCCTTTCCTACAGCAGGAGACCAGTGGAAGGTAAGCTCCAACAAAGCTAAGATCCTGGTTGGGAAAGAACAGAACCTTGACATAAGGAACTGGAGACATCTGGGTTGATGTATTCAAATACCTTGGGTCCCTGGTTCTCTCTGGACCCTCTTAGCCTACAGAAGTGGCCTATTTCCCTATTAAAATTGGCGTGCCCTTGGCTGGAAAAGGATGCAGAGGCTTCTCCCCACAAGCAGCACTTGACCTCTGAAGATACACCCCCATCTCACCTCCTGGCCACTTGACCAAAAACAAAGGTTAAGTCACAACATAACCTGTGTGGGGACATGTTGGGCTTGATAGGGGTGGAAAAGGACTAGACCCTAAGGTAGCTGTAGGACCTCTTCAGGTGTATTCTACTCCTGGTAGCTTCCAGAACAGACATACGACTGAGGGTGCCTGATCACGGGGGCACAGCGTGAAGCTGGATAAGGAAGAGTTTAGATTTGGGGGAATTCTCCAAAGGTATTCGATGTAACACCCTGGCAAAGACTACCAGAAACGGTGTGAACTCACTGCTAAAGTGGCTCCTAGATGCATAGAAAATGCGAGACATTTTCTGTCTCACACTGTGAGACAGACACGACAGAATTACCATGACAGATGGATGAGAGAGATGAAAGTGGTACTTCCGGGATTGAGCATAAATAGGACCAGAAGGCACAAGCGAGCGCACAAGATGGCAGCCCAGAGCTCCATCATCACCCTTCTCGCGCCAGCACCTTTCCTCAGCTCACGCATATGGCTGCATGGGCGAATCCGTGGTGCCAGCTGAGGGAGAAACAGAACACCTGAGCATGGTTCACCGATGAATCAGCTTCATCCAACGCGAGCCTGATAACAGCCGCCAACTGCACCATAGCTCCCCTTAGCGGTGACCATGAAAAACAGCAGCAAGAAAAAATGCTCCAAGTGGATAGAACTTTGGGTAGAATGCCTCATCATCCACTTTACACACAGAGAGAAGTGGACTGAGGTTCAGATAAATAAACACTGATCGAGAGTGGCAAATGCCCTGGACAGATGGTCAAGAGCCCAGGATGCAAAAGACTGAAAGAGAAGGAACAAGAAGGTCTGGGATTGATGCAGGTGACCTCTGCCCCCCATAGGTTGGCACAGCAGGAAACCATGGTGCCAGGAAGGGAGACCCAGTAGTCTGGGCTCTCTTACTGAGGCTGAATGCCCAACAGGCCCCCAACAGAGTCCAACACCCATCCCCAGTGTGTTACTATTCCTTGAAGAGAGACCAACTGTCCACTCGGTGTTGAGCTGACTTCAGTGAAACCCTTTCTTTTTTAGACTGGCCAGTGATTCATTTCAAAAAATAAAATAGCCACATATTCTGGGTATCTACGTGCTTTTCTTGCCTCAGATAGCACCATTATATGAAGAGCTCACGGGGTGTTTAATCCACTAATAGGGGAAGCCAAATAACATCACATCAATCAAAGACATGTCCTTTACTCCAAGGAAGGTGTGGTAACGGGCCCAAGACCATAGGATCCACTAGTCCCATCATCTATTACACGGCTGAGGCTGGGGCCCCGAAAGAGTGCTAGAACAATCTGATGAAGGTACAGCTGAATCACCAGCGCAGAAGCGAGACTCTAGTGGAGTGAGGGTCCGTCCTTCCAAGACTTGAAGTGAAAGATATTTACATGGTCTTTAAAGATCTTTAAACACCTCCTGCTGTATCTCCAGGAGGTGTAATATGTGGGTCTGAGAACAAATGTCGGTCCCTAAGAACAGTCCTGGATAAGGCTCCTGCATGATTGTCTCCATCTCAGATTCTGCTTCCTGAGGAACCCAGTCTTCAATGTCTGCTTCTCTGTTCCTACAACACTCTGCGTATTCCTTTCTTCCAGCATTCACCATGTTGTACTGAAATTCCTTGCTTATTCATCGATCTTCTGGAATAGTCCATGAGTTTCCTGTGATCAGGGGCCATCTCTCTGTTTATCTTCGCCTCTCTAATACCTAGCACAGCGCCTGGCCACAGGTGGCATAACAGGTTCTGTTGGTAGCCCACTGAGATCCCTTTTAACAAGCTGGTATAACCATCCTCCCGCTGTTTCACTGTGTTATCCAGAAATTTCAGTGAAATTATATCCCCTGCCCTAAAGGGGGACCTATAGCCAATGACTGACTGAAACAGATATATAAAATATGTAGCGCTCTGTGCTGCCATTCATATCCTAGAGCTCTCTCTGGGATCAGGCCAAGATTAGGTCAGCTAAACCCAGATCTTTGCTTGGTTTCTTCTCCTGCCCAATCCTGCTTCCTTCCTTCCAGCTCTCTCCTGGCCACCTCACTCAGCATTTTACTTTCACAAGAATCCCTGCCTGTGCGGCTCTCTTTTGGGAACTCAATCTAAGATAGGTAGCAAGCAAGCATTTAATGAACCAAACTACACTAACCTAAGAGACCCTCATTTTATAGTTGAGTAAACTCAGGCCTAGAAAAGCTTAGGGACTTATGTAGAGTCAACAGGTAGTTCAAAACAGAGCTAAGACCCAAACCCTGCATTCCCCACCTCAGATCCCCTGTTTTCACCAAGATAGAAGCTGATACAGAGACGACTACGATCTCTACAAACTTTCTCAGGTAGGTATAAAAACACTTTTCTAGTTAAAAAACAGCCATCAATAATTAATCAATAATTTTCAATAATTTTCCTGAATTTAATCAATAATTAAATTCAGGAAAACAAGAATGCAGCAATGAAGTAAAAAAGATGAAACAAGCATTTATAAGCCCACTAGCTCTCCTACCTAGTGTATATGGTCCTGGCCTCCTGGTTACTGAATCCCCTCACTCTGATTTTTGACCGACTTATTGTTAAGCTCTCAAAACCAATGGAAATAACATTTACCAAATGTTTTCTAAATAATAAAATCTACTGCTGAGAATGACTAAGTAATATTATATTTTCCCATAGTTCACCTTCCTGGCACTAAATCAATTCCAGGATCAGCTGGTGGCTAGAAATTTCCATTGCCTCAGGGGAAAATCAAGGAAGCAGGTTTAAAACTAATGGTCTGACAGCCTGAAGCCAGTTGTGTCCTCACAGATCTCCAAATGGATCTCAAATTTTATGGCTTCTAATAAGTGCCTCAAAATAACTATAAGAAGGCAATCGAAACACAAGAAAAACTGGGTCCCAGAAGAAGAAAAGTGATCTCCACCTACAGCAAAGGAAAAGGTGTGATTTCAGTATTATATGGGTAGAGCAAGTCAAGGTGAACAAAAATCAGAACAACTTCCTGGTTTTACGTGCTTATGTAAAAGGTGACATGGCTGAATGGAAGCCAAAGTTTGGCAATAAGGTGGGTAAAAGACTTTCCAGGGAGAAGTAAACATTTCTATTTCTCTATCATTTCTCCTGGGATGTGGGGTTGGGGGGGGGAGTAGGTATTTGATTCATTTTATTTACCTTAGAAATAGTTACCATCCCCCCCCTCCCCAAACTACAATTTCCTGTTTTTGTTTGTTGGATTCCAGTTTTGCTTCTTTGGGAATACTCTGGTTTACTATTTCTTGAGCACCTACTGTGTGCCAAGTACTATCGGGAGTTGGAGGCAGGAAGTTACTGAGACTAAGGGGGTTTGCGGGCTCTCCGAAGAGAAAGCTGCTCGGAAGGAAGAGTATATCCAATCCAGGCAATATTAATTGGGCAGTTGGTACAATAGCGGCTTGTTTGGGGCCCCGCTGGGGTAAGAAGGAAGGAGCCCTGTGCCTAGGAAGTGTCTCTCCCTAACAGAGTAAGTGGCCCATCCGACACGT